AAATTCCTGGTAAATGTTTGAAATGTTACGAAATGTTACATTGCAAACAGCAGGTGGCATTGAAGTTCAATTCACCATGTATTCTGCTTCTAAGATTAACCATAGGTTTAGAGCTCAGACAACCTTAGTACTGATAAAACCAACAAAGCTATATTATTGTAATTATTTTTTCATTCAGTGAATCACTTTTATTTGATTTTAGCAAACAACATGAATTAAAAAGGCCATTATATGTTTTGGAAGTAGAATGCATGCATATAAATAATTAACTAAAATTACAAAAACGTACATTGCAGATTCTGGAGTCCTCATCAAAAAATAATAAACCCATAGTCTAAACAATATGTTCTTTATCACAGGAGGGGTGGGAAGAACATTTTATAAAACATGCTTAAAGAGACATACATACTGTGTCCATGTCCACCATTTTACAACGCACATGGCTCCATCATGTTGATTGGCAACCCATGAAAACTACTGTCCTTTAGTATGTAGAGGTTATATGCTGCGTAATTCCTGATCATTTCCATCTGATAGACTACTTGCAGTATTTCAAGTTTACACACTACAGGTCAGCACTTTCCATATGTTGTCTATCAATTTTATAAGTGACATGTGTAATAGAAAACAAGGTACATATTGCATTCCTAAAGAGACACTGTCACTAAGATTGTCTTTCCATAAATCCCTTAAAGGACCACTATAGGCACCCAGACCACTTCAGCTTAATGAAGTGGTCTTGGTGCCAGGTCCAGCTAGGGTTAACCCTTTTTTCTAGGGTTAATCCAGCCTCTAGTGGCTGTCTCTTGACAGCCGCTAAAGGCACTTGCCTGCTTCTCACTGTGAAAATCACAGTGAGAAGACGCCAGCGTCCATAGGAAAGCATTGTGAATGCTTTCCTATGAGACTGGCTGAATGCGCATGCGCATTCAGCCGAAGAGGAGGAGGGGATGCGGAGAGGAGGAGGACAGCTCCCTGCCCGGCGCTGGAGAAAGAGGTAAGTTTAACCCCTTCCTCGGGGCACCCTCAGGGCACTATAGTGCCAGGAAAACGAGTATGCACTATAGTGGTCCTTTAAAAAATTATGTAAATCTCTGCTTTAAAAATTATAAAATATTGCACTGTTGGTGGCACTGCCCCAAAAACAAACCCATCTGGACAGAAGTACACCAACTTATCGAAATGATCGACAAACCTTTCACAGCACACCCCTGGACTATGCTACTTACCAAACCTCTGGACTCCTTCATGAGGAGTGAAAACAAGCTTACCGCTAGGATCACTCTGGCAACCAGACGGGTGATCGGGGAGCTATGGGCATATCAATGTACCCCGACAATAACGACTGTCATATGCAAAATAAAGGAGTCAAGAGACTTGGATGAACTCACAGCACAAATACATGACACAACTCATTCCACAAGACCTGGGACCTATGGGACGCTAACTACACAGGAACGACCTAGGCGCTCCACAGAAAACGCATACTACCACCTATCACCCGCCTGCGAAGAAGAGACAGAAACGGAACATCCGAACCCCTAAGGGAAAATATAGCTAAAGCGACAACGACCAACCCTACATTAACAAAGAACATCAATCACAAAACAACTAGGCAAGAAAATGAAAAGACACAAAACCTTATAACAGCCGAAAGCAGCACAACCTAGCACCCCTTTCCACCCCCCCCATTCTCCCTCCCCCAACCCTCCTTCCCCTTGTTCTCCTCCTCCTAGCCACCACCTCAGGCTCTCTCATTGGTCCCCCACCTCCCCAAGTCCACTACCCCCAGATCTCCCCAACCCGGGGGTGCGCAGGTGCGCAAGGGCGGAACAAGTATCCCAAATTTCCAACCAACCTTCCTAGTCCCTAGCGGAGGACGCATAAGACACATAATCCTGATCAAGGAAAAGCGAGGCAAAAGCCAAAATCTGAACACATAGCATACCCTAAAGGACAACAAACACCAACGCAATAAAAGACGGACCCCAACGTGTGCAACCTACCCAGGAGCCAGGGCAGAAATTACAACATTCCTCGCTCCTCACCCTCCCCACATAGGCGAAAGGGGAAATCTACCACACTCACTGCGCCCGCTAGAAGAGGAAGGTACCACCTACTGCACTCCCCGCCCCCTTTGACCACAACAATACCACAAACACGCTCAGGGAATGCACATTCTGGCACCACCATCTAGAGGCCATAGCCTACTGAACAGCTAAATACCACTTGCCACACCATGTACTGCTCGCTTGGATCCGCCGAGGACAAGGCAGATCCCCCACCCCCTCCCGACCGAACAAGTAGACCAAAAGGGAAACAGACAGAGGTCAACCGATACCGTGCAAACTACAATGCAATGTGGTAAGATGTATGGCTTTCTTTTCAGTACAGTATACAACAAAATTGCACAAATGCTTACCTTAACCCCCTCTCTTTACTTCTATATCCTCCCCTCCCAGGTGGGAAAACTGAAAACTACATAAATAAAGAATTTATAATAAAAAAAAATATATATAAAATATTTCAAATGGATTCATTTTCTTTTCATTGAAACCAACAATGGTACCTTTAGCATCATTCCATATTTGTATTAGAAAAAAATAGCATAATTAGTAAATTCTTGTGGAGGTTATCGGCTATGTGCCCATAAGTGTGATGTTTGTGAGGTAGTTTATAAGTGCACTTTCCAAACTGTTTATTAATCTCTAGAAGCAGACAAGCCTATTTGTAGTCAACAGGATTAACAAACTTTATGCATTATGTCTTACTAAACAAACAGCACTGTCCTGTGTATGTCTTTAATACATTACCCTAGTTACACTGTTACATTTACCTCTGGTATCTGTACTTAATACTAAAACTTTGCTATTGATGTTGCAAACAAACTAAATGAACATGGAAACATTTCGACACATTAAGTCTTGACAGAGAACAAACCTGTCTGGCTGCATCGTCTTCTTAGAAACAAATAATTAGTGTAGTGTAGTTATACACAATAATTGTACGGATCATTCAGGTTTGTTTTATAGTCAACAAAGCTGTTTGTTTACACTTTAGATGGACTTATTCCCTATTCCATATAGACTCTACAATTGGAATAGACATCTTCAGACTAGCAAGGTGACCTCTACGGGTTGTCAAGGATTCAGGAACGAGGTATAGTAACAACAAGGTTGTGGATATCGGTTTATATTATAACAGAAAATATACAACACTGCACATCTTAGGATATTTATGACACAGGATATTGAAGATATTATGTATGTTCTGGGTATCATCCTGGTATGCAATTTTTCAGGACCAATGGACATGAAAGAGCCCATTAACTGGAACTAAAAGAGAAAACCTGACCACGATGGTCAGTAAAAAAGAAGTATACTAAAATGTAACCTTCATTAATACAGTTAAAACACAATACTCAACTATTTTACATTGTTCCTGGCTAAGACACCTTCTTTTAGTTAGATAAGTTTCAGAGTCTGCCAATGCCACGTCAAACTATCTTGTTAAAGTCAAAAGCTATTAGATATCCATATACAGGATTTATGTAACATTTTCTCTCATCACCCACTGTTTACAATTTGATGGTAGTTTCCATCACACGCTGGCTATTCTATCCCCAATTACCGCCATTGCCCCATGTTGGAAAAACTTTAAAACTCTCAGTCATTCCACAAGACGTCCTTCCCCACTGGGGACTAGAAGACCCTGGTCAACTTTTTATTTTTAGTACTTGATGTGCCAAGTATGTAAGCAGAACAGGAATCACACTTTTCTACTTACCCTGAGTTTACCTCTCCCATCTCAAGCCCAGTTTCAGAACTAATGGAATATCATCAAATCTGACCTTTCGTTGCATTCTAATGATTTTTGGGTATTGTCTCTTTGCTGTTCATCATCCATCCTAGAATCCAGGTACACTCTGATGCAAAGTAAAATTGTACTCCATTTTCCTACCTGGAAAGAGGGGGGTGATCGTGTGGAAGGGGGATACTGGGAAGGAGGGGGGTGATGGTGTGGAAGGGGATACTGGGAAGGAGGGTGATGGTGTGGTGGAAGGAGGGGATGGTGGGAGACACTGGGAAGGAGGAAGGGGTGATGGTGTGGAAGGTTCTGGGAAGGAGGGGGTGATGGTGTGGAAGGGGGAGACTGGGAAGGTGGGGTGATGGTGTGGAAAGGGAGAGATACTGGGAAGAAGGTGGGGTGATGGTGTGGAAGGAGGTGATACTGGGAAGGATAGGGGTGATGGTGTGGAAGGGGGTTTCTGGGAAGAAGGAGGGTGATGGTGTGGGTGGGGGGATTCTGGGATTGAGGGGAGTGATGGTGTGGAAGGAGGGATACTGGGAAGAAGGAGGTGATGGTGTGGAAGGGGGGATACTGGGAAGGAGGGGGGTGATGATGTGGAAGGGGGGATACTGGGAAGGAGGGGGGTGATGGCATGGAAGGAGGGGGGGATAGTGGGAGGGGGGTGAGAAATACCTTTTTTTTTCTCCCTGGTGGTCTAGTGTGGGCTCCCTAGTGGCCATAATATCTGGTCTGCAGCTCCTCGGTGTGCAGAGCTGCAGACCATGTATCTTGCAAAACCTGGTCAGAGCGTTGCCGTGGTAACCCGCGGCAACGCTCTGATTGGCCAGATCTCACGAGACACATGGTCTGCAGCTCTGCACACTGAGGAACTGCAGACCAGTGTCTGGAATGGGCACTCTCCCACTCCCGACAGACCATCACCCCCCTTCTTCCCAGTATCACCCCCTTCTTCTCAGGGGGGTGATGGTGCCTTTCCACACCATCACCCCCCTTCTTCCCAGTTTCCCCCCTTCCACACCATCACCCCCCTCCTCGCACCCGGCGCCACACAGAGCAAGCTGCCGACCCCCCTCTTGGTGTCGGGTCCTCGGTCACTGACCGAGGACCCAACACAGTCTGCCCCCAGGCGGTGTAGGCGGCTGCCTAAGCCAGCGCAAAGCCTTAGGAGGCCACCTAAACCTCCTAATTAAGGAGCCGCCAGTGGCCAGGGAGGGGGGACACTTGATTCCCTTGTGGTCCGTTGGCACAGCATGCTTTTAGAGTGTAAAGGAGGCCAAGGAGTCTCATATTCCACTTTCAGCAGCCAGGCAACAGATAATTTCTGCTCTCCTTTTTCTCACGAACCGCCATGCTGAGCTTTGCAACGGCAACCAGCAGCAATGCTCTGACAGCCACAGCTAACTAGAGGACAGTGCCAGAGGTGGAGCTTGGGCCCAGGCCCCATAGAGTTACACTGGCTGTACCCCCATGATGGTGGTCCTGCCCCTGGGTCCAGCCCTGAGTTTTCCCAGAGGGCTACAGGAAGTCCGACACTCATTCTACCACCATATCACAGGCACTTAGAGCTGTTTGTAGGGGAAGTAATGTATGTGTTTAGGGAATGTAGTGTATCTGTAAAGGGAATTTAGCATGTGTAGGGGATGCAGTATGTATGTAGTGGATGCTGTTTGTTTTAGGGAGAAAGTGTGTGAAAAGGGGGTGCCGTGCGTTTATAGTGGATGCAGTGTGTGTATTTGTATTTGGGAAGCTTTGTGTGTGTGTAAGGAATACAGTGTATGTATATACTTGATGCAAAGTGTGTGTATAGTGGATGCCATGTGTGTTGTGTTGTATTGACAAAAGGGAAAGGCATTTAGGGCATTGGCCAGTCATATGACCCTGTATATGGAATCTGAATTGTTGACTGGCAGTCAGTGCTCTATATTGTGTGTGTGTGGATGGAGGGAATGAGGGAGAGGGGAGGGATGCTTGTTCTGTTACTTAAAAGGGATTTGGGAGGAGTTCAGTAAGTTGGCCTGATGGTTTTTACATTAAGCAATCTTGTCAACCCTTATCAACTGGTTTCAGCTTTAGGTTAATACAAAAATTGTCTCTTTTAGGGTGGGGTGTCAATCATCTGTTTACTCTTTTGGTTGTGTATTTATTGCACAGTCAAATATTTAACATCCTGTGCTGAGCGCAGTATATGGTTCTGTTAGAGGCACTTGTTTGCACCTGTGTCATTCTGGCAGTAAAATTGACAAAGACCACCCCTGATATCAAGAAGGACGCTGGACACTCAGGCCCTATGTCTTTTTATACCTATAATGCAACAGCATAATCACACGTTCTGGACCAGTGGAAACAATGCAAGATAGTCTAGCACTATTCTTGTATCAGTCCCTATATAACCCCCTCAAGCACACCATCCTGTTCCTTGCTTCCTTACTGTGCCAATTACACATTTATAGCAATTTAGTTAATCTTCAGATTTGGCATAGCTTTTCCCTAACTATTCTGATATATGGTATCCCTTATCCAGCTTGGCTTATCGTTCTGTCTAACTTTCGTTGTCACATCTCTAGCATTGTTAAGTCTGGCCACTCTGAAGTACAGTAATATTATTATTACTAGCAAAGGGGACATTTAGAGGTGAAGAAAGCCCTGCTCAATCAAGCTCTGAGGATTTGAGGTAGGCGGATACATATATTGTCTGACCTCTGTTTTCCAGTTCTTAGGCAATGCTGTAACCAGACAATTTATACACCTCTATCACTATCTTAGCATAGTGTGGGTTCAAGTACTGCAGGTTGGGGCATTCTGTACTGTAACCTCTAGGCTGGCTAATTCCATCTGGAAGTGCCTGGATTTTTTGAATAAGTGTAAAACGAAGCTAAAATGAAAATAAATGGTGTACATGGTGTTTGTTCTTGGGTAAGTTTAGTGTTGAGAGTGATTTGGTATACTTGTTGATTGCACTTCTAAAACTGACCACTTAGAAAAAGGAAGTAGCAGTTAGGTGGATCAGTGCATGGTTGGGCTTTTTGCTACGGAGAGTCCTGATTTATTAGTTTGGTGTGCAGGGACTCTGTTGGGATGCTAGTTTGCATTTGGTGAATTGACATGACTGCTCACCCATTCTCCTTTTTTAGCCCGTTGCCCTACCAATAACTGCCACAGCTTTATTAACTTCAATTCAATTCCAATAACCATAACCTGTCAGCTGTTGGGCGGTTAACCCAACAGACAGTTCTCCACCTCTTTTTCCCAAGAGCCTCAACAGCCAGCACTTGCAATCTGCCCTCGTGCGGTCTGTCGTCTGCCCAACTCAACTCCGTGTCTTTCTGCTTTACTCCCAGTTGTGCTGTCCAGGGATCCCGCCAAGCTGTGACAAAACAAGAAACAACAGCAAGACACCAAAACAAAACAAAACCAACACATCCATAACCAAGGGGAGGATGGGTGGGAATTTTCACCAGATTCCCTTCAGAGTCTCTGCTGACTGGTAAGTCTCCTCCCCACTGCTCTCCCCAAACCCCTTTTCTTTGCCACAAATTATCCAATTTAGGCCAGCCATGATCCCCCTTCCAAAGGTGTACAGGGGGAAACTCATTGGTGAGGTACTGAATATGCTGGTGTTACATGCCAGATGTAAAGATATGAGTTTGGGATGGTTGGTTAGGAGGGTGAAGTGTCAAATTTAACTTTACACTAATATGCAAACCCAGGCAGATGTAGGTTTTGGTTCTTAGTGGCTGGGCTAGCATTAATGATATACAGAGTCTCGAAAACAGATTAGGGGAGCCAAGAATAAGGTCAAAGAGTACAGACAGACACAATATCAAGGAAAAAGCCAAGGTCAGGATTCCAGAGGTCAAGAGAAGTAAAACAAGCCGTATTCAGTAACCAAAGAACCAAAACGGCAAAAGAAACTCACTCTTGGGAAGAGACGTAACTAGAAACCATCTGGCCCCAGTGCAAAAATTACCCTGGGACACCCCCTCCCCATGTGTCCTATGCCCACCTAGCCCTTCCATTTGTCTTTCTTCCCCCAGCCCCTTCTTGTGCCTCATTCCCCCTTCCATGTGTCCTAATTCCTCCCCTAGTCCATTCCATGTGTTAATTCCCCTCCAGTCCCTTTCATGTATCTCAATACACCGCCCCTCAATGTGTCAATGCCCCCCACCAGTCTCTTCCATGTGTCTCTCCCCTATTCCCCTCTGTACCTATTCTCTCTCCTGTAGCTTGGCCAAGTGGACCGCTGTACCTGATCTCACAGGAAGTGAGCAATTTCTGTCAGACAGGGTAGAGGGAAACAGAGGCCCCTCTACCTGCAGTCCACTTGACCATGCTATTTGTTTTGTGATCAGCAGGAGGGGAGCGCTGTCACTCTGTGATCATGGCCCCCCCGGGCCATGTACTGACCCTGAAATGATCGAGGCCCCCGGTCGCTGGGGTCGGCCAAGCCCCCTGGAGTGAATGGCACAGCCGCAGCTGCGACCCCTGCCACTGTGGTAGTTATGCCACTGCTCTTGGATATACAGGAACCCTGACAGGACAAGAAACCATAGGAAACCCAGAAGTATATATAAGCTAAGGTTGAATTCTATTGGTTTACACCACACCTGCAACTCCAGAATGTGCATGATCCAAGACACAAATTCCAAGACTCAGCATGTTACTCAGTGGCGACTAGTAAAGCTTTAAGATTTTGGGGTGTCAGACTTCTCCCCCAGAATTTTACTCCTCCCTATACAGTACAGAGATAATCATATAATACAGAGAACTGAAAGATGATGCTACAAAGATGATCATACCACAAACAATGCTGAGAAAAACTAGAGATATAATACACAGAGCTGGGCATAATATAAACATTGCAATACAATATACAGATCTGTGTAGACTACAGAGATAACCATGCAACAGGTAGAACCAAATAAAATACAGAGAAATATTGCACAGAGCTAGGCACAATAAGGAGATATCATGGAGAGAAAAAAACAGGTCGCAAGAGTATTCTGAGAACTGACAGCAACTGAAATAGCCTGCCCTTCGGTGGGTCCCCGCTCAGAACTCAAGCTGGTTTTAGCTCATCTTGTGCCATTACAGAGAGGACATATCTGAAGCATATCAGACTGGTCCCACCCATACAGGCAGTCCAGATCCGAAATGCCAGCAAGTTTCCTCTGCACGAGAGACACTGCAACCCCAGACAATCGTTTCAGCCTTGTTAGGCATCATCAGTGAGGCATAGCTGACAATAAGGAGATATCATAACTACCCCATACAGCCATGATCACTTTGATGAATTACACAGAGCTGCAATACAGAGATTCCCAGACAATACATGTATCTGCAAAATGCTTTAGATCTCTTTATCTCTATATTTCATAGTCCTCTCTTAGCTCTCCCTTACATGATCTGATCTTCAGTAGTGCTCCTGCTATGATAACTTTAACTTTCTATTAAATATTGCTGCTGTTATGAAACATGTTATGAAACATGTCAGCTACTGCATAAGCTCTCAGTACACAGTGTGCACGTGGTTAAAGCATCAAGATATTGATAGACCCCAAACATGTCAGCTATTTCTGACTCACTATTTCCTCTCAGCACACAGTGTGCATAGGGTAAAGGCAGCAATTCTTTATTACCTTTGCAGCTGGCAATATAATTAATCTGCAGTGAAAATATGGAGCCAAGAAATAGCTGACATGGTTAACAGAAGCAACAAGCACTACAGTTTAAAACAGACTGAAATCAGAATCAGATCAGTCTTCAGAGTCACAGTCCCAGTGTGATTGAAGCTGCCGTGCCACTGAAGGCCAGCCTCCTGCCCACAAACTATGGGCCTGGTACCAAGAGCCCCTGAATGTGACTATTGTCACTGTTGCCACGCATCTTATTCCCTCCCCCATAGACCCTCAATGCATCTCATTTCCCCCATAGACCCTACATGCATCTCATTTCCCCCCCGCCCCTCCATGTGTGTCATTCCTAACTCCTTCCCCAGCCCCTCCATGTGTGTCATTCCCAACCCCCCATCCCCTCCACATGTGTCATTCCCAACCCCCCAACCCTTCCACATGTGTCATTCCCAACCTCCCAACCCCTCCACGTGTGTCATTCCCAACCCCCACTCCCCTTCTGTACCTGCTTACCGCCGCGGTACCCAGTCTGACAGGAAGTGCTCTCTCTCCGTGAGCACTTCCTGTCAGACCGCTTGGCCATGCTACACATAGGGCAGGAGGGGAGCAGCACAGCACAGCTCTCCCCTGCTGCCGTCAACTGCGGACCCTAGGCACAGGCCATGAAGGTATGCAGCCGACCGTGGTAGGTACGCCACTGCATATGGGCAGGGCTGTGCAGAGCACTGTGTAGCCTGCTGTTACAAGCTGTGATGGCTGCCTGGTTCCCCTGTCTCCATGACGTCCTATGCGACTGCATAACTAGCACACCCTAAACACAGACCCTGTCTCTATATTTCTCTCTCTCTATCTTTTTCTCTCTATTCACTTTATGTACTATATGCACCTTAATATTAAAATAAATCTTTATGAGCTGTATAATTTATTTGTCCATTTTCTACCCAGGCTACATATTTTCTTTTTATTGCACATGTTTTTGCTTTCCTTTGTCTCTGTGATTCATTTCCTCAGGTTTTAAATATTCAAAGTTTTTGTTAAGGCTGGTTTTCTAATTTTGATCCTAGAGTATTCGTCTGTATAAATATTAAAAATACTTTTGCAACTTCTTGTATGATATTCTCTAACACATTCTCCTTTGCTAATTCACCCTTAAAGCAATAGCAGACCTTGTACCTTTACCTAATGTTCATGTTATTTATTAATGATTAGCCTTGATTTTTTTGTCTCATCTTATCTCATTTTGTCTTATCTTGCTAACTAGTATATCACATCAGCACTTTATATTATTGTGTACTCCCTTTATTTCTTTGTTGTATTACTATTATGTTATTAGCTATCAAGGTTATCTATATGGTGCTCTTATAGATATGGTGGAATGGGACGGACTTATGATTTGGGACTCATTGTTAGGGATGTTTGCTTTTTGTATGCGATTGGATGGATGAATGTTGGGGGTTAGACTGGACTATCTATCTGGGTGGATAGTGAACTATGACTGGCTTGGAATTTGTGGCTGGTTGTGTAGCTGAATGGCAATGTTTAGGTAGTAGTGTATTTCTGTGGGGTGCTAGTAAGTGCATATGAATGATGAGTGTATTTGTGTAGAGGGCTAGTGCGTGAATACAGTGTTGGTTTTATTGAGTTCCAGTGTGTGCATGCAGCAGCATATTTGTGTGACGTTTTAATGTACATGTATAGTTATTTAATGTGCATTTATAGGCACTGGCGGAACTACCATGGTCACAGAGGTCGCAGAGGACTGGGTCCATCACTTGAGGGGGCCCAGTCGCCCTGTCGACCCCTGCAAACAGGGTGCCCACCAGCATTTTGGTGCGGTCCTGACTGCGCGGAAAAACCCATCTGAAAAACCCATCCATTGAAGGATCCCATCGGTAGCCCATGCTCTTGGGGCCACCCGATGGCAATGGATTTCCAGGGGCCCGGTCAGTACTGCGGCACTTTAAGAGCGCGACCGATGTAATGATGTCAAAGCTGGGAAGAAGCCGTCACTTCCACCCAGCAAACAGAGCGTCACGCAGGAGGAGAGGAGGGAGTCAGAGTGGAAGCTCTGACTCCCATCAACATGAGACAGCCACTGGACCCCAGGTAAGTCACTACATTTTTTTTTAACAGTTTGTGTGTGTGTGATAGAGAATGTCTGTATCAGTGTGTCTGTATGTCTGTGTGTGTCTGTATGTGTGTGTGTGTGTTTGTATGTCTGTATGTATGTTTCTGTGTGTGTCTACATGCAGGGCCGATGCAAGGATTTCTGGCTACGTAGGCGAAGATACATTTTGCCGCCCCCCACCTTCTGCGTCTTCACCTATGTGTCTCGTAACCGGCCTCTTTGTGTCTTTCTTTCTCCCCCACAGCCCCTTTGTGTGTCTCTTTCTTTCTTCCACCGGCCCCTTTCTTTCTCAATTTGTGTGTCTCTCCCCTCATCGCCCTTTGTGTGTCTTTTTTCTCCCATGCCATGTAGACATAGATATATAGCAACACAACCACACAGGAACACAGAATAATTAAGGCACACAGGTACACAATCTACACATACAGGTACAATGTCATACTAATACACAAACAGAGACATTTAGACTCTGTCATATAGAGGAATACAGACTAGGGAAGTGCATGGGAAAAATATTCGGTTCGGTTCAGCATTCCTAAATTTGGGACTTCAGCACTTGGGGACTTCGGCACTTCAGTGCAGCAATTTGACACTTCAGGACTTCGGGAAAGGTTAGGGTTAGGGTTGGTTTAGGGTTAACTCTCCTGTTTTGCCACTTTTCAGAAATCTGAAGCACTTCGGCACTTCCAAAATTCGGCAATTTGTCAATTCGGCAATTCGGTTTGGCATTCGGCACATCGGCAAAATTTGCATTCAGAACAAAATTAATTGTGCATGTCTAATACAGACACAGGCATACAAAGACATACATACACAGTCATATAGTCATACATATACAGACATACATAGCACAGGCAAATCCAGGGCTCTAGTGGAGCGTATGGGCTGGAATTGGGGTGCTAGGAAATGTAGTGGGGGCATAGGGACTGAAGTAGGTTTATGGCTACAATTTTGGAAAGGGGCTGTGGTGTAAGTTATATGGGCTGCAATTGGGGAAGAGGGGCTGTAGTGGGGGATGATATGGGAATGTTGTAAGGGTATAGGGGCTGTAGTGGGGATATGGGGTGTAAAAGTGGGGTTAGGTTTGCACCTGGGGTGATAGCAGCTGTCGTTGGAGGGATGTGTATTAGGGGAGTTAGGCGCTGTGGTAGAGGCAGCCAGGGGCTGTAGAGGGGGCGCAGGGGCTGAGAGAGGCAGTGGCTGATAGAGGGGAGACAGGGTCTGAGAGAGGGGGGACAGGGGGTGGAGAGGCGGGGGCTGGATCTGTAGAGGGGGGACAGGGACTGAGAGGGGGATAGGGACAGAAAGGGGGGCAGGATCTGTAGAGGGGGACAGGGGCTGAGAGAGGGGAGGCAGGGTCTGAGAGAGGGTAACAGGAGCTCTAGAGGGAGAACGCTAGTGTAGAGGGGAACCTGGGGGATGGAGGGGTGGGCAGGAGCTGTGTAGGGGGAAGAGACTGAGATGGGTGACAGGGAATGAGGACAGAAGCTGTAGAGGAGTGCGCATGGACTGAGAGAGAGGGACAGGAGCTCTAGAGGGGGGCCAGTTGCTGGAGAGCAGGGGCAGGAGCTGTAAAGGGGGCAGAAACAGAGAAGGGGGACAGAGTATGAGAGGGGGTACAGGAGCTGTAGAGGGGTGCACAGGGGCTGAGAGAGTGGGACAGATGCTCTAAATGGTGGACAGCTGATGGAGAGGGGTGCAGGGGCTGTGGTGTGGGGGGCAGAGGGGCTGCTTAAAAAGAAAAAACAAAACACATATTCCCCCCTCCCTGAGGCTTATCTTGTGCCAGGGAGGGTGAGACAGAAGTTGCAGTCTGCATTCATTATACAGGGAAGTTGGTCGACCTCTCCTGATGATGTCAGGAGGAGGGAGCGTGACTTCCACTGCTCTTCTCCCAGACTCCCCAGTGGATGGGAGAAGAGCAGTGAAACTAGTCACCCCCCAACTCCTGACATCATCAGGAGAGGCTGGCCAACTTCACTGGCTGTAGGATGCAGGGAGACAGGTAATTTGAAAAATCCAAGTCCCCAGCCAGAGTCAGAGGATTCAGATTTTTGCACCCCCTGCTCTGGTGCCCTAAGGCGGCCGCCTGTGTCGCCTTATGGAAGCGCCGGCCCTGTCTACATGTCTGTGTGTGTGTGTGTGTGTATGTGTGCCTGTATATATGTGTCTCTGTGTGTGTCTGTATGTGTGTGTGTGTGTTTGTGTGTATGTGTGTCTGTATGTATGTGTGTTTGTGTGTCTATATGTATCTGTGTTTGTATGTGTGTCTACATGTATGTGTGCCTGTCTGTGTGTCTGCATGTGTATCTGTTTGTCTGCATGGGTGGGGGGCAGGGATGTATGGGGTAGGTTGTAGATGTATGGGGTGGGGGTAGACGTATGGGGTGGGGGTAGACGTATGGGGGGGGGGCCCAAGGGCAATTTTTGCACTGGGGTCCCGTAGTTTCTAGTTAGGCGATCCTAATTTTCTATCCTAATGTCCCTTTTTTCTAGGACCTTGTATTCTTTGTGTGTCTGACTTTATAACAGAGCTCCACAACAATAGTACTCATGGTAAAGTGTCTTTAAACTACAGTAAATGTGTTTAGAAATCAGTCTGTGTGAAGATAAGTTGTGCCAGATACAATGTTTTTTTTCTAAATTACATCTTTGATACATAAATTGTTATTAGTAGGTCAGCTAAGATTTCTAAACCCCATCCTCAACCACACCACCACTCAGATTCCTAAAATTTAAAGGGACACTATATGATTCAAAACAACTTAGGTTAATGAAGCATTTTGGGTGTGTATATATCATGCCCACTGTTCAATTCTGTTCAATTTAGGAGTTAAATCACTTTTGTTTCTGCATATCCAACCTCAGTCATACCTCCCTTGGCTGTGACTCACACAGCCTGCATGGAAAAAATGGTTTCATTTTCAATCAGATAATATTAACTTCCTAGTATATGTAGGTGATGGAAGTGCACTCAAGCCTTCGTCATGGAATTCAAGGTGCTCCAATGGATAAGTCCCAGTACCCAAAAAAGGACCAAATATGGAATTGAATATAGAAAGTAATCCAGGCACTCCAGCGAATTCCAAAGTAGAGGCAATTTTTATTGGAACAAGAAACCAAAAAGCAACGTTTCGACCCTTAAGGGCCTTTGTCAAGCTTGTTTAAATAGAAGTTCTATATTCAGTATTAACTTCCTATAGACTTTTTTTTATAATTTGTTCACTCGCAACCTTTTTTTTTTCCATTTCCACATGCTTGAGCCAATATGCTTGCCATATGTATTTTCTTTTTTGACAACAATAAATGTGCATTATTTTTCTATGATTTTATCGTGATACATTTTGGGGAATTACCTACGAGTGCCAAGTTAAAAGATCTGCAGTGATTTGTTGCAGCTGAATTCTACTTTGCCAAAATCTTTTGATCAGGTATTGAAGAAGTGCTTTCCCAAGCAGAAGGGTATTGCCCTTAAAACTAAATAGATAAAGAAAGGGTTTTTACTGTGTGGTTGTCCTGCTAGCTTGGGCCTTATATATCATTATGTGCTGATAGATAATTACTGTATAACTTACCCTGCAAGACTCAATTTCAGACTTTCTCGAGCTGTGGTTAGTTGTATAAGGAGACTTTTGGAGGTATTGCGTTAATGTTGTGTGCCGAATTTGTCATAACTGCAAAAGATTATTAGTGGCTGATGGTGGTTTCGCCGAAAGAGTTGAAAAGAGGTTAGAATACATCAAAGTTGATATGGTTGAATGGAGAGACGGGAGGTCAGTGGGTAGTTATCTTATATCAAGAGAATTCAAGTTTTTGATAAGAAAAGTTTGGTTAGTTTTATATAGTTGGGTGTAGTTAACAGTAATATTACAGTTCAGCAAAAAGTGATCGGAAAGTAGGAAAGGTGTTTTGTTTTTTGTAAGTTAAAGTTTTATTGACATTCAGCAACAGCATGAAAAATCCAAGAAAAAAAGCCACGCATGTCCCTAATTAATATAGTTGTCTTTCCTTTTCTTGTTTTTTGTTTTTTTGTTTTTTTGCTTTCAGTATAGCCACGCAGGACCATTTAGGAGTTAACCAGTGTAAGCCTAATGGTGACTATCTTAGACAGTATCGCAAAGAACGTTGCAGACAAAACCATGGAAAATGAAGAGAGAAAAAAATAAGTCATAGCAGCGAAACTCATCTGCGGAACCACGAATTGGAGTATGATCCACAGCGGTCAAGATAAAGTTAGTCAGGCCACCTGAATCTGTACAACTCTATTTCACAAAGTAATAATCATTAAGCCGTTAACTGGTGCTAGTACTCCCCAGGGCTTGGCGTGAACCCACTCCAGTATTGGAAGCATTGGCAACTAGGACAGGTGGTTTAGAAAGGTTACAATTAGCTACAGGAGATCAGTTATAGCTTATCAATATATACATAAAGGGCCAAGTTCGGGTCTCTGTGAGAGCAACACAATTTAGGAGATCAGAAATAAATAATTTGAGACATTAGGCACTACATGGCAACTGCATATTTTTTATATATGGAATAGAATATGGAAGGCAAAAGTGTTGGGGTTAAACTGTTGCAGTGCAGGGGTTAAACCAAAGCTTTAATTCCAGTTTAATTCCTGGAGGTACGAAGGTATCAGCACACCCCTGCCCCTTTAACCCCTTAGACTAGCTAACTTAATGATTCTAACAGGGTTATTCAGTAATGTGAGAATTTGTGGGAATTCAGAGTCAATTTCATATTTATTGTCCAAATAACCAAAGTGGAAAACTCCTCTAAGCCAGCAATGCTTTCTGTGTGGCTACTCTGGCCTTAAATTTGAAATTCACTTTGCATATTCACTTTAGCAAATAACCCTGTCAATATTTATACAATCTCTCAACACTGCACATACAACATAACTTTCATTTTGAATTGTACAATTATGGAAAATTAAATATGTCCCATAAATTCCCACTTACTTTTCCATTTGTTTTAGAACTGGTTTTACATGACAGACAAATAGATGTTTCTGCCAGAGCTCAATTCAGCACCTCTGTCTACCAGCAGCGGGACTTTAAATCCTGCTCACTCTACTCTATAGCATTACATTATTATTACATATAGTGTCTTTATTTACGCAGTTACATTCTCAAAAATGCAGTCAGGTTCCTTGTAAATATTCACGAGCCATCTAATTTTTATTGATGTTATCTCTCCAATATTTCTGTTTTGGGTTAATAAATTAACAAATAAATAATAACACCTCCTATGTACATATTTTTAAAGAATCCCGAACAGCAATCATTTATTAAATTAATAATATGTCCTATTTTTGGTTCTAAAGATGCATCCAATGTTTTAAATAATTGTTACTTTACTTTACCAAAACAAAAAAACTTGGTGGTGAAGAGTTTAATGGTAACACTAACATTTAACTTCTTTTTTTGAAAAGGTTCATCTCTTCCCTATTATCCTTCCTCTGTTATTCCAAAAATCCGTTGTCTAATCTGATTTAGAATATATTTTGTCTATCATTGTATAATAAACTTGACATGACATAACTTCTTACTGCATTTCTAATAAAGAACACTGAAGATAAATATTTTTGACTCCACTTAAACACTTTGTGCTTAAATGGTCAACACATCTGCAGCAGTAGGAGCAGATGTCCACACTAAACCCAAACAATTCTGCCTTCTAGCTATGTTTGTTTATATTTGATTATGTTAATGATACATAAAAATTGTTGACCTTGCAAAACTTTGTTATATTTGTAAATTCTTTATGGCCAGGGACTGGGTTTATATTACGAAATAGTGAATCTTGATAAGTTAATTACTGCCGAATATGGGTAAGAAGTTATGGCACCCAGATACAAATGTCATATATATAAGAGGGTATATGTGTATTAGACTTGTGCACAAATAGAAAATATGATTAGCCCAAATCAGCTTGTTCGAATAAACCAAAATGATCTGGTCTAACTGAAATTTGTTCATTGCTTGATTTGGTTTATCCAAATTTTGTTTGAAATTTTAATTTGCAAAGGAAATTTGGACAAACTATATTTGAAATTTGGACAAACTGATATTTTTAGCCTCTCAGTCATTACTGGTATGATAGAGGTTAAACATTATCCCTAGACTCTGGGATTAGGTAAAATTAGTTTAATATGAGGGACCTTGCACCAGGTCCCTTACCTACTAAAAAAAAGAAAGATATCACAACATCCTTACATGGTTAAAAGAGATTACAAAATGTTTGGGCTCTACAAATATTTGTTGCAAATGCTAAAGGGACACTGTAGGCACCCAGAACACTTAATCTAATTGAAGTAGTCTGTGACCCTTTTGCACTTAGTGCTGCAATGTAAAAGATTGCAGTTCCAGAGAAGTGCAATGTTTACATTGCAGCTCTAAGTCTGCCCTCTGTGGCCGTCTACCAGACAGCTACTAGAGGGCTTCCGGAATCCAAACAGACTTTTGGCCCGTTATCTGACGCTGGATGTCCTCACGGACCTCCAGTGTCAGATTTTCCCCATAGGGGGAAGGAACACCGGCGGAGCCTGACCCAACGCAGAAGAACATCGGCGCTAAATTCAGGTAAGTGGCTGATGGGGTTTTAACCCCCTCAGCAACATGGGATGGGGTGGGAGGGGGGCACTCTAGGATTCCCTAGTTCCATAGAAACAGGAGTGAAGCAGGCTCTCACTGGGCACATACAAGCATGGGTGGTGAAAACAATAGAAATAAAACAAAAAAGAAAGGGGAGATGTTTGATACGGTTCACATGGATAGGGTTAGGCCGAGTTTCCATTTTTACAATCCAAAGCATGTAAGGGGTACTTGCTGTCAAATTTTAATAAAGGTAATTTTATACTAGTAGTAGGTCTATGTTTAAAAATAGTGAACCAAATAAATTTTTATTGAAAAGTAAACAAAGTAGTCAGCAAACATTCAATGTATGGAAAACAAAGATTGTTTTCATCTTAGGAAACATCATTGAGAATATTAATGCATGGTAAAGGACAAATTTAGTAAGCACAGCTCGATATTTGGACATGATTGTGGCAACTATCTTTGGCAGACCTTCAAACAATGCTGTATTATTTACATATTTATTAAAATGATTATATCAACATTACAAAAGTAATAGAAACGTTAATTTGATAGAAATTCACTAAAGAAGCATCTTCCATCCATAAATTAAAGTTAGATGAATTTGACACGGTTTGAAGATGATAATAAACATCTTGAGGGTAATGTGAGAAAATACTCTACCCCCAACTTGTCTGGTTCCAGTAGAAAAGTGTTGATTTGGGTCCCAGAAAAAAGTGCACATATGGCATGCTATTTTCAAGGTTCTTTTTGCCTAGATGCAGCACATCACCAAGTGTGCGTCATTATTCAGATGCAGACCACCATTCTACTCTGCCGTTGTGGCATCACTTTTAAAATTATACAGCCAAACATGAACCCAGTCGAAGTCCAGTTGCCACCGTTCTTCAAAATTCATTCTACTCTCCATCTATCCTTTCTAAAACCGGATTACCATATCAGTTCCTTGTAAGAATTATTAAATATCTTAATCATAATACATTCAACTGATTTCAATGATATGACTTCATAAGAATTCTTCATTACAAACATACACATAGAACACTGTAAATTATCAGGTCCCAAATTATTTAAAAGAACACAATAATGTTACTGATACAAACCTGTATTTCTAATGCTATAGTGTCCCTGTCCCTAATTGTGGACAATTAATAAGTCAAGACTTTTTTTTTACTTCTTTCTTTTCTGGTTAGGGCTTATGCAACATCACAGCAATGGTAGGACCTAATGCACATGTGCAGTGAGAGTATAACTTTGTTAGGGACCCAGAAGCGCCTCTAGTGGCTAACTGGCAGAAAGCCACCAGATGTGGAGTTAACCATGAAATGATATAATTGCAGTTTCTGAGAAACTGTATTGTTTGAAATTGCATGGTTAAACAGACAAGGGCACTGCACATAGACCAATTCAATGATATGAAGTGATTTGGGTGCCTAAAGTGTCCTTTTAACAAGGCAAACATTGTGAGTCATGTTGTTACTGAAATAATATTTTGCCTAATAAATTAATAAGGTAAAACAGTGAGTACATCACCATCATGTCTTACCTTAAATATCAACATAGAATGCAATGCATTGAAGAAGTTTATTGGTTAAAACATGTTCACAGATGGCCAGGAGGAGAGGGCACCAAAGTCAGCATGTAGAAATTATTGGAAAACGTTCTAGAGAGGTGAGCCAATAAATACTGGTCTTGATGAATTTCAATGGGGACTATACTTTTTTCTTTTTTTAGGGATTATACGTTTTATTTTTTAGGGACACTGTATTCAGACCACTTCAATGATCTGAAGTGGTTTGGGTGCCTATAATGCCCCTTAAAAATGTCAGTGTTTCCTTTCCTCTACAGACCGTAACTGCCTTTTAATGAGTCATTATTTTAGTTGCTTGTTGAAAATAATTGTTGACTTTTCTGTAAAACATGCAATTCACCTTTCTGGACCATTTGGATGATTAGAACAATTTTCCTATTAATTCATAGAGCCACCCAAACAAGATACAATTCAACAAACCCCATTTACAAGTTTTGCATGTAACTGGTATTCTGATAGGTTTAATATTTATTATTAAATATATTCAAGAGACATAAGCTGCAAACACCATGCTGTCTCCTTTATCAGTTCACACCTATGGCAAACACAATGGCACTATTTGCTAAAGGTGAGAATTGATAAAATGTGAATTATTAAACCATGTCTGCAATGTCGTCTATCATCTTCCTGTTTATAAAGTTTTTTTTTATATTTTACAAGTATATTTAAACTCCTGTTTGTTTATCTTTTTATTTGTGTTTTATTTCATTATAAAATAATTAGTAATTGCTCATTGGTACAAGTAATGCAGTTATTTAGTTTATGAAATCATTCTTTTTCACTATTAATTACAATAGATTTTTTTTACCTAAAGCTTCTCACAGAAACAAAATAAATATCACACATTATTTGCACACGACACATAATCACTTACTTTTCAATCACAGATTGGCTTCCTATACAAATATACCTTTGACTCAACTAATTTAATATTTTTACGTTTACCATAGGATTTCACTCTTTTCTCAGACACCTCAGATATGTTCTTCTTACAAAATTAATAAGTTGGACTTTTTTCCCTGACGTCACAGAGCCTCTCCCCTAAAACACATACCAGTCATTTACACTCAGGATGCTGAAACCACAAAAGCGTTCAATGCCAGATTAACTCTCCATAGAGAGATATGACATTACTATTTACTGCTCACATTCTGACAATATTTTCCACATACAACCAATACACCTTCCCCATGCATAAACCAATATTTACTTACCTACGTTACAGACATATATACATGCAGGCATTCACAGTGATTCCCTCTCATTTAAATCTCTAGACTGTATGCTTGTTTTAGCAGGGTTCTCATCAACCTATTGGTCTTGTAACAGTTTGTAATTGTCTAATTTATTGTAAAATTTTACCCTTTATAATATTGTTAACGCCACGGAATAAGTTGGCGCTATATAAATGTCAATAATAATGAAGATATCCTAAAAAATACATTTACACACATTGCTACATGGTACAGGTACATACAAAACTCAATTCATTTATCAGCTCTATTACTCAGTTTGTTCCACTTCTTAATTCTATCCACCGCCTTACACCAGCTCACCTGCCTTTATCTATCTACCATTTATATTCCAACTCCAATTTTCTTCAATCTTCTGTTTTTCTCGTTCCATTTTCCCACTCTTATTTTTATAACATTTATACTTAACTTTTAATTACATACCCAACTTTTATTTACTCTCCCTCCTGGCAGGCCCAGTGCAAGCATTTTTGCCGCTTTTTTTTTACTGCCCCAATCGTTCCACCCACTCATGCAGACTAACACACTAAAACCCTGACTCAAATAGACACACACCGACCCATGCAAACTGATGCACATGCACTTATCCATGCAGACTGACCCATATACATACACTGATCCAGGGCCGGCCTTAGGCAATTAGGCGCCCTGTGCAAAAAGTCTTCACGGCGCCCCCCCCACCTCCCACCAAGTTGCCTGAATACAGTAACACACACAGGCACCGGGGACGTGTGTATCACGAGGCAAACAAGGCATCTGCCTTGGGCGCCACTTTGCAGGGGGCGGCAAAAAAAAGCATCCCTCCAAACCCCTAGGCAGATGCCTTGCTTGCCTCGCATCCTGGGGGGCTCAAGAGCTGACCGGCTGGCCACTTTTGAGCCCCCCCAAGGCTGGCAGCGGGCAGCGAAGGAGCATACTCACCTGAGCTTTTCCTGCTCAGCTTCCTCTGCGCCGCTTAATGAACCCAGGAGCCAGAATATGACGTCAGTCCGGCTCCCGGCATCACTAAGCGCTGCTTACTCAGCCTGTGCGCCCCCTGCCTGCCTGCCCAGCAGCCACACTGGACTGCTGGTAAGAAATCCACTCCAGCTTTCCCAGGAGGCTGGGTGGATTTAAAATAAATGTAAAAAATATTAGTTTGTGAGTGTTAGTGGAAATGTCTGTGTGTGTGTCTGTGAGTGTTTATTTTGAAGTGAATGTGTGTGTGTGTGTGTGTGTCTGTAAGTGTGTAATTGTGTGTCTGTAAGTGAATGTGTGTGTGTCTGTGAGTGAATGTGTGTGTTGGTCAGTGAGTGTATATGTGTCAGTCAGTGAGTGTGTATGTGTCAGTCAGTGAGTGTGTATGTGTCGTCAGTGAGTGTGTATGTGTCAGTCAGTGAGTGTGTATGTGTTGTCAGTGAGTGTGTATGTGTCGTCAGTGAGTGTGTGTCGGTCAGTGAGTGTGTAGGTCAGTGAGTGTGTAGGTCAGTGAGTGTGTATGTGTCGGTCAGTGAGTGTGTGTCGGTCAGTGAGTGTGTGTCAGTCAGTGTGTATGTGTCGGTCAGTGGAGTCGTGCATCTTTCAGTGAGTGCTTGCGTCTGTCAGTGAGAGTGTGCATCTGTCAGTGTGTATCCAAGTAATAGTGTATGTGTGTATGTCATTGTTTGTCAGTGTATATGAGAGTGTGTGTCTGTCAGTGAGTGTGCGTCTGTCAGTGAGTGAGCGTCTGTCAGTCAAAGTGCGGCCTTGACAGGAAGGGGTGGGGGAAATTTAAACTCGGTTACAGGCATGTACACACACTCAGTTAAAGGCAGTCACACATACAGGCACAGGCACAAACAATGGCACAGCGACACACACAGACAGACAGTCACATAGGCAGTCACACACACAGACAGACACACAGTAACAAACACATAGACAGTTATACACACACAGGCAGGCAGTCACACAGATAGAAAGTCACACACACAGGCAGGCAGTCACACACAGACAGATAGTTACAGACAGACACACACAGGCAGGCAGGCAGTCACACACAGGCAGTCACACACACAGGCAGTCACACACACAGACAGACAGTCACACACACAGACAGTCACACAGACAGACAGTCTCACACACACGGGCAGTCACACAGACAGACAGTCACACAGACAGACAG